ATAAATGAAGCCCTGGGTGTGATGTCCTGTACTGCGAAATAACAACAATAATATATATTTTAAAGTTATAGGTCTTGTTAAGGAAATGTCCAAGTTTTTGAGATAAGGTTGCATGTATACCAGTTTATCTGAATCAGATAAGAGTTCTGATCCCTCCTAAGAGTTCTGACTCTACCTCCTAAGTTCTGGAATTACAGGCATGGCCCATCGTACATGGTTTTATGCAGTGCAGGGGATAGAAGCTAGTCTTGTGCATGCTTGGCTAGCACTCCATCAACTGAGCTACACCCCCAGACCCATGTTCAATAAATTATTTTCCATCCCCCTGTCTTGACAGATGTACCATCGTGGCTACCTAGGAGACCAGGCTTAAGTTCAGGTTTTTCTGCTTCCTGTGAGGTGAGTCTCACACCAGAATGACTTCCCAGTAGAGAGATGACTTCATTCTCACCCTGCTCCAGCCATCCCTGCCTTTGCTACACTCCCAAGGCCACAAGGGCCACCCATACAGACACCTGGCCTCAGTCTACTTCCAGCCACAGGCCCTGTAAAATAATATGCTAGGCAAGCACTCTTCCAGCTGAGCTCGGTCCCCAGCCCTGAGACTGGTCCTGATGCAGCCAGAACAGAGCACTTGGAAGCACCCGAGCATGCTCACTGCCTCTCTTGCCCAGACTGGCCTTCTTTGGTGGCCACCAGAACTACAGCCAGGGCTTGAAGCTCTCCCTCCTCCACTGGAGGGCAGCTCCGACAATCCCCACGCAGGATTATTTGTCTTCCTGGAAAAAACCCAGCCTAGTTTGATCTCAACTAGTGGATTTCTGGAGGCGGGGAAGGGAGGGCAGGGAGGTGATGCCAACAGGGAACTTTCGTCAAGTTGGGTCTCCAAACCAGAGTTTCTTCTATCTAGGCACAGCCTCAAGTGACCCCTACAGCTCCCTTGATCCTGCCTCACCCTGCAGATGACAGGCAACATGGATATGGTGGCAGAGCCAGGAGGAGGTAAGAGGTTCTGGACAGCAGAGAGATGGGAACCAGCAGGGGGCCGGGGCTGGTAGGGGAGGAGTGCAGGGCATCTCTCTTTCTGGACAAGCTTTAAACATGTTCCACCCCACCTCCACCCCCTGCAGACTGGCTTTGCTGTCCTACCCAAGAGGGGACACTTAGACCTGTTGAGCCGTCACCAGGCACCAGGACTGTGCTAAGCACTCTTCATGTGAATTCTCACTAATTCCCTGCAGTCACCCTGTTGGAGGGGGGGCTCTATCCTTATCCCCACTTTCAAGTAAGGAAGCAAGTTCAGAGGTAGAGGTGATAGGGCTCAATGCTAACCTACCTAGAAGTTCCTCTTTCCTATAACTAACTCCCTGCCTCCCAGAAGCAGAAATGGTCAGAAATGAGCAAGGGCCAATGAGATAGCTTAGCAGTACAGGTACTTACTGTCAAACCTGATGATCTGAGTTCAATTCTCCAGCACCCAAGTACATGGTGGAAAGCAAGAAAGAACTCCGGAAAGTTGCCCTCTAACCTCCACATGCCAACCACCCCCCCAATTGAGGAAAAGTTTACTGGCGATGGTGTGTGGGGAGGAGACCATGGAATGAAGAAATCTAGATGGTCATGAAAAATCCTCTCTCCTAATCACCCCTTCATTCTATCTGAAGACTTGTGATGATCTCTGGAAGGTTCCTGGATTCTTGGCTGGGACCAGGTGGCAACACCCTTACCTTACTCACTTCCCTCGGTCCACACCCCAGGGCTCTTTGCTTTACTTAAGTGGACCACAAGGTCCCACGTTGCCTCTCCTTTATGGCTTAGGGAGCCCCGTATCACAGGTAGGATAGCTCACACTGTCTCTTCCAGAAAATCTTCCCTGAAGTCCTGGGAGACAGAATGCCACCCTAAAGTCAAATCCCACATGACAGGGCATGCCTACCTTCATCTCCACATCCTGACCCAGGACCCGAGACAGAATGGACCTGCTGAGCTTGGGCAGGTATTTCCTCACACACATCTCCATCCTGCATCTGTACCCAGGTGCAAAGGATGCAAATGACCCAGGGTCACCAGGAAACCCAGGTTCCACTCAAGGAGGCAACAGCCGTCATCTCCCCTGCCCCCCAGAACAGAAACCTTTCAGGACATCCCATCACACCAAACCGCTGTGAAAGATACTACTCTGGGACTCATACAGGACACTTGGAGTGACGAAGCACCCCTGCCGCACACCTACTGCCCGATGCTGTCTTCCCCAGCCCTCGGACCCCTGGCAGCATCACCCACATCCTTCCTCATAGTTTAGTCGCACACGCTCACCGCGCTCAGACAGAGAAAGTCTCTGGGGGTCCCCTAGGATGCGGACAGAGGACAGGACAAGGAGCTGCTTTATCCTCCCGAGCTGCCCTCGAGGTCCTCAGCGTGGACCCGCCAGCATTGCTTGTCTTACCTGCAGGGAAGAGACTGCCCTGCGGTGGCCACCTGCTCTCGCCTGGTTTGCTTTGCTTCGCAGAGGCTCTGGGCTTGCGGCTGGGACTTGGCTGGACGGGGGCGGGGCCGAGCCGGGAGAGGCGGGGTCTCCTGTCCCACCCCAGTCCTGGCAGTGAGGAGTCTGTAGGCACTTTCAGGTGGCAAGTAGGGCCAAGAACTGGTTTCTTTTCTTCTCCCCCGCTCCCCTTTCAAACCGGCTCTTGTATAGCCCAGGCTACCTTGAGTCTTAGTCCTTCAGCCTCCACCCTCCAAATGCCAGGTTGTGTGTGCCACTGTTCTTCATGCTTGCTCATGCTCTCTCCCCCCTCCCTCCCCCCTTTTTCTTTTATTTTTTTTCTTTTCATTCTTCCTCCCTCCCTTCCTTCCTTCTTTGTCTTCCTCGTCTTTCTCCTCTCCTTTTTCTTTTTCTTAAGGCAAAGTTGCACTCAGGCCTGCTTGGTCTTGAACTAGTCAACTAACATCAGTTCTTCCTCAGCCTCCCAACTGCCAGGACTACCCGCAATGAGCCACCGCAGTAGGGTCCGAACACTTGGGGCCACCTGACCTTATCAAATTCCTTCTTTCAGACAGCCTGCTCCAGATGCTCACAAGCCTGGCTCCATCAGAAGACCCCAGCCCAAAGCAGCAGACTTGCCTGAGCCTCCCTCCCCCACATCTGAGCCTCTCACAATATTGAAGGTGGATGGAGATAAGGCCCCTCCTCTAAAGGTCAGCTCCCAATCCAGGCCTCTAGAGGGATGTTAGATGCCCATCTTTTTCCTCTCTCCTTGCAACACGGGCCTGCCCCCACCCCCTAAACACCCTCGCAGTTCCCTCAGCTGTCACTGTTTAGCGCAGGAACGACAGGCGTCCAGATTCCGTGAGTCCAGCCACATTCAAGGCCATTGAGCTTAGCACTTTCTGCTCCTCCCCCACCCCCAGTCGCTAATTTTATTGGCCTGTAAAAGGCACGCTCCTGGGCGGGCTGGCGGGGGTGTGGAGGGAGGGTGGGAGGCGGTGACTAACTCAGGTCTCAGTGTGGAGTGCACATGCAGAAGGCAGGCGCCCACGAGGAAGGACGACGACTCCCAAAGGGGCCATGGACAACTGGAGGGGAAGAAGGGCTCTGAGAGAGGTTTTACTCAGACTAAGACGGATGTCCAAAAGAGTGGAAGAGAAATTTTAGTCCTCAGCCAGAAAAGACTCGGAGAAGAGAGAATGAACTCTTTTCCATCCACTCTGAGGCAGCGCAAGGATGAAGTAGGAGAGATGAAGGTTGGATGGCAGGAAGAACCGTCATCCTTCCGTCACATCTCTACCCTAACCTTTCCTCCCCGCTTGAAGGTGACTCCTGCCTGCTGGGCCTCTTACTACAGAAATAGCCCTTTCCCTGAAGAATCAACCTAGATCCTGCCTCTCTTAAAATGAGAACAAAAAAAAAAAAAAAAAAAAAAAAAAAAAAAATCAGGCCTTTGCAATTCTCCCTATTCCTTGCCTACCTCATCCTAGCCCTCAAATCATCGGGCTCTCTTCACCTGGGTGAGAAGGGGAGATAGGAGGGGACAGTGGGGTTAGGAGCTGTCACAGCAAAGAGGGGACACACAATGGCCTTACCTTCTTGAAGGGCCTCAGACTGAGGCTTGGTAGATCTGGGGAAGGAACCCAGGGCCTCTTTTGTGCTAGGCATGTTCTCTGCAACCTCAGATTTATCCTGCTGATGACCTACATGAGGGTCCCCCCACACACACTGGATCTCACACACCCATGCTGGTCTCAAACTCACTATGTAGCCCTTGAACTTTAACTACAGTTATTATTTGTTATGCATGTGTGATGTGTGTGCTCATGAGTGCACTATGGTGCATGTGAGAGGCTCAGAGAACAAGCTGGCAGAAGCAGTCCTCTCCTATGGGTAGGTCCTGGGGACTGAACTCAGTAAGGCTTGGGGGCAATACTTTACCTAATGAGCCACTTCACCAGACCATCATCCTGTTCCTACCTCCAGTGCCCGGATTCCAGGCAGGCACTACCCATGCTAGCCTATGAGATTCTAGGGATCAAATCCTGAGCTCTGTACATGGTAGGCACTCTAACAACTGAACATCATCTCCAGTCCCAAGGGAAATATTTTGACATTAAAAATGACTGCCAAGCTGGGCGGTGGTGGTGCACGCCTTTAATCCCAGCACTCAGGAGGCAGATGCAGGAGGCTCTCTGTGAGTTCGAGACCAGCCTGGTTTGCAAGAGCTCGTTCCAGGCCAGCCTCCAAAGTCACAGAGAAACCCTGTCTGGGAAAAAAAAAAAAAAAAAAAAAAAAACAGAAAGAAAAAACAAACAAAAAACCAGATTGCCAAGCTGTTAAGTGTAGGGACAGGGGTAGAGGATAGGACTTACAATGAGAACAAAGACAATTGTGAAGGTGTGTTTACATCTTGATTAGAGGAGGTATGTGTAACAAAATGTATTGAATTGCACATTATTAAGATGACATTTATTTTCCATCAATTTTACTTCAAAATAAAAAAGACTACACGTTTTCTATCCCATTTTAACATTTTTAATTTTGAAGGGCTTCAAAAAGAAAAACAAAAAACCCAAAAGTTGCCTAGGGAGGGATGCTGTGACTCCTAGTACAGCATGGCTTGTCAATTCTCCTGCATTGGTTTTCCAGCTCCATCCAATGTATACAAGAGTATCTGGGGCAGAATAATGGGTACCCTGCTACCCACAACTAGAGTATTACCCAGGGGGAGAAGAATGGCTTCCTGGACTATCCTGCCCCCTGCAGCCTGAGCTAGGTACTACAGACACAAGGGGTCAGTCTAGAGAGAGGTCAGACAGACTCTGGGCACAGTCCTGCAGGATGTCAAAGTCAGGGACTGAAAAGGGCACCCGGGACCACTTTTTGGACTGAATCCTCCCGTGAGGGGTCTCCAGGAGCATGCTTCGGATTTTGAGCACCGGTAAGGTCACTGATTTGTAGATCATCTGCAAGCCCCAGACCTGGTGGTGGAACAAATGGCAATATCTGGGTTTCTGTCCTCAAGCTGGACTTCTGTGATGACCAGACCTGTATCTACCACGTGAGGCCATCATGCAGTGGACTCCCTAGGACAGGACTAGAACATGGACTGAGGGCCTATCACAACAGGGCTTGTTGCCACTCTGGGTGAGGGCCTCCTTTCCCAGATAGAGGGTCTCTGCAGTCTGGGGTTGAGGTTTCTTTGACCTGGGCTATAGTCCCTCACTTACCTCTCCACAGTTACTGCAGCTAATGGTTCCCCCAGGTCTCCAGTCTTTGAAGACCTTGTTAATGACCACAGGCTTCTGGGAGATAGTATAGTAGACCCTAGAGGGGATGAATAAACAGAGCCCTTTTGGAGCCCCTGGCCCCCAGACTTCACACCCTGTAGCTGGCTGAGCTCCTGCTGTGAGATCAGGTTTTTCTGCCTATCAAGATACAGAACATCCCAGAACCAGGAAGTCCCAGAACTCAGAGGTTCTGCCTGTCCTGTCTGCACCCAGTTCCCATACCCAAGCTTGGAAACTTTTTTTCCTCCACATGAGTGATTTCAAGTTTCCTCATGGATCTCCTCCTCCATCCTCATTTCCAACCCCAAGCCACCTCCCCCCACCTGATGGAGTGCCCTAGAAACATTCATTCCCCCTGACATTCCCTGGCTCAGAGTTCATCCAAGGCTCCTCACTGCTTCCTGGATACAGGTTTAACTTTCAGGCCCAGCCTTCAAGGTGCTCCATGACCCGGTCTGTCTCCATCCTGAAGCCCATCATTTCCTGTCCCTCCTCTCAGGGTAACTGTGCTCCCTCACCTCTGCCTAGACTTATCTTCCCATGTTCAAACCCCACCACCCTTCAAAATGCTCCCTCAAATGGAACCCGTATGAAGATTCTTGGTACCGTGGCCTGACACGTGGGAGGTTGTCTAATAAACGGTTACTTAATGAATGTCATAAGCAGAAGTAAGGTGGGATATGGGGTGGGGAGCTAGGGGCGGGGCTCAGCAAGAGATCGAGAGCCAGAGCTGTGCAATTTCATTTAGCTTGTGTATGATAGATCAGGAAGGTGCTTGGGTGCCACCAAGCCCCTGTGGGGATCCAGAAGGTAACTTTTGGGAGTCTCTCCCTCTGCTGTGGGATCTGGGACTCAAGCTCAGGCCATCTGGATTTTGAGGCAGGGTCTCATGTAGCCCAAGATGGCCTCCAACTTGCTCTGTAGTTGAGGGTAGCCTTGACCTGCTGCCTCTATCTCCAGAGTGCTACCACATCCAGTTGTTGGGGATGGAACCCACAGGGCTCTGTGCATTTTAGGTAAGCGTTCTACAAACAGAGCCACATTCCCAGCTACCCTGCACCCCCACCCCACCCCACCGTGTCTTTTTATTTTTTTATTTATCTCTTGAGACAGGGTCTCTATGTAGCCCTCATTATCCTGAAACTCACTATGAAGATCAAGACCTTTCTCCTTTTGAGTCCACCCTGGCCTGGAACTCTCTGCGTAGGTGAAACTCCTACCTCCAAGGTATTGGAACTACAAGTGTGCACCATACCAGATTCTTTTTTTTTTTTTTTTTTTTTTTTTTTCCTTTTCCTTTTCCTTTGAGATGGAGGCCTTTCTGTTGCTTGGCTGGCTCTGAATTCCAGGGCTCAAGTAATTCTCCTGCCCCAGCCTCCTGAGTAGCAGAGACAGGCTTCCTCATCTGACAGTTGCACCTGTCTTGAATGTCCCAAAAGTGGGCAGGACCAAGGAAGTTAGTTTGTAGCTAAATTCTTTGTATCCTAAATCCCAGTTCTCTCTTGGTGACACAACAGCAAGATACCACATCTCTGCTTCCTCACTCCTGGGATGGGCTGTGGATAAAACCTGCTTGCTAAAACGCTCTTTAGTCTCCTACACCCTGCAAAAGTCCTTTCTCCTCCTGCCAGCCACCCCCCCCAAGGCTCTCACGAGAAGTTGGGGTTCACATTGACGTAGTGGGTGCCCTCCACCTTCCGCAGGTCACTCCCGTAGCCCATAGCGATCATACAGTTGATGCAGAGGAGTTGCACCTGCTCTGCTAGGAACTGCTTCTGCTGACTCTCCCGATGGGCTGCACGTGCTGCACGCTTAGCTAGAGCTGCCAGCTGCAGGTCCTGGATCTGGGGGGCGGGGCAGTGGGGAGGAGACACGACTCAGACATGGACACCAAGAGATCCAACCTCAGGAAAACTCCCAGGGCTCCAAGAGACTATTTGACAGAAGGGACTTGGTTTTGTTTTTTGAGACAAGGTCTCTTGCTGACCTGGAGCTCCCTGGCCCAGCTAAGCTGGCTGGCCAGCAAGCTGAGAGATCCCTGTGTCGTGTCTCAGTGTTCCCAGAGCTGAGGTCACAGGACTGCTTTGCTGTCCCCAGGTTTTTACTGGGCTGGGAATCTGCATTCAGGTCCTTGTTCCTGTGTGGCACCTTACCTTCTCATTCCCATGATTTCTGAAGCTTTGTTAACAAAAAATATGGGGACAGTCAGTGAGGTGGGACAGACTTAACAGACTCCCTGGAGGGGGCTTACCCTCTCCGAGGAGCAGATGGGGGGGGGGCAGCGGGAGGAGATAAGAAGGAGGAACTAGGATTGGAATGTTAAAAATAAATTAAAAAAAAATTTTTTTTTAAAATATGGGGTCAGGGGACAGACAGCCTTTGTGCTGAATCTATGTGATCCCCTTGGAAAATGTCATGCAAACTTTTATTTTTTTAGTCTGTCATGGGACAACAGGAGTAAAGAGGATGACTTGGACGCTGCCTCAGAGATTAGTACAGAGTCTTTGTTTCCTTTCTATTTCCAGAAGGGCTCTCACAAATACACAAAGTATCTGTCCTCCTCCACCCCAATTTTTTTTTTTTTTTTTTTTTTTTTTTTTGAGACAGTTTCTCAGTATAGTTCTGGCTGTCCAAGAACTCACTTTGTAGAGTCTGATGGCTTCAAACTCACAGAGCTCCATCTGCCTCTGCCTCCGAAGGTGCTCAGATTAAAGGTATATGCCACTACTGTCCATCCCTGCCCTTGTTTTAAAAGACAGAGTCTTACATATCTCAGGCTGGCTTCAAACTTGCTGTGGTAAGCAAGGTTAAGGGCAAATCTAGAACAAGGCCTGTTTCTAAGGTTATGTGGAGGACAGGCACTACCATCTCTGGCAGCATTACCCTGGCCTTGATCTTTCTTTGCACAGTATAAAAGTCCCCTGGGTGAGCCAGGAGGGGACCCCAGAAGTGGGTGGATGCAGTCAGAGCCTCAGGCTCTCACAGGCTGCAGCGGACTGCCTGCTGACCTTGGCCTTGAACTCTTTGGGGTCCATCTTCTGTACTGTAGTCACTGCCTGTTCCATCAGCAGCTCTAGAGCCTCATTGGTCAGCTCCCTCCGCAGCTCCCGGCTGCCCTCTGTTGCCACAAAGGAGTACACACTCTGATCAGCTCGAGCACGGCCCCGGGCCTGGAGTAAAAAGTGAAGCGGAAGTGGGCCGGGGTTCCTTTAGGACCCTTCCAGGGCTGCGGGGGGTGGGGGGGGGAGGGCTTTAGAGTACCTGGACCATGGAGATTTCATTGGTCAGGAGCCCATAGCGTACCACCACACTGCACTGGGCGATGTCCAGCCCCTCCTCTGCCACACTTGTGGCCACCAGAAGGTTCAGGATACCATCCCTGAACTCCTGGATCACCTCTTGCTGGTCTTTCTGTGGGAAGGATTCGGGGAGCAGGAGAAGATTTATATGAACTCAGAGTCCCAACTCTGTCCCCAGGTATCCCCAAGATCCTGTCCATCTTAGTGATCCCAGTCCCTAGGGACACACACACTCTTCCCTGCCTTATCTTCCTTCTTTTAAAAGGCAGATTCACACGTATCTCAGACTGTCCTTGAACTTGCTGTTATAGCCAAGAATGACCTTGAGCTTCTAATTCTTGTCTCTATCATCTATCTTCTGAGTGATGGGATTACAATGTACCACCACACATGGCTTATGGCTTTGTACTTGTTAGGCAAGGATCCTGCCAACTGAACTGTAGCAGTATCCTTTTCCCTGGTGACTTCTAGAAGTCCCTGCCTAGCCCCTCTTCTCCCACAAGGGATCCCGTAATTTCTGACCCTCGGCTGTGAGAAGCCATATCACCCACTCTCTTTTCCTCTTACTCCTGGATCCCCCTGCTACTCCATTCCCTGGGACTCTCAGGCTGGGGTTGGGGGTGGTCTCTTGCCTGGGAAGATTCAACCCCTCCATCCCCAGAACCCTCCTGCTGTCACTCTGTGCTGATGACCCTGTTCCCCCTTCTCCCCTATGAAATGCCTCCAGCCAAAAATAAACACCTGGGTCATATGTGTGCTCTGGCTGGTATTCCCTGCTCCAATCAGCATCTGGGCCTTGATGTTCACATTCTGTAGGCCAGGCTGCTGCCAAAGCCAGAGCAGGAGAGAGTATGCACTCTGGCGGGTTCGGGTGAAGATGATGCCCCGAGGGTGGTTGGAACTCCCAAACTGCTTCAGCAGGATCCCTTCAAGCATCTCCAACTTTGGGTTCTCAGGACCATGAGCCGCTAATTGGGCCAGTGCATTCTTATGGTCTGAGAACACAGAGACAGAGACAGAGAGATGAGGGGCTCAGGCCTGGGTGTGGATAGGTGTTTGCTTACAGGGACAGAGCTGTAGGACGGGACACCTGGCTCTGAGCTGTCCCAAAAAGCACACTAAAGGACACATTTGCCACTTAGTCTCAATGCAAGCCTTACATGAGACATTCAGTATAGAAGTCATTGCTCATGTACCGCCCACCAGCACTCCTCAGATCTGCCCTAGGACCATTTATGTTTGTATGTTTTGTTTGAGACAGGTCTGTGTAGACCTGGCTGTCCTAGAACTTGCTCTGTAGACCAGGCTAGCCTCAAACTCAGAGATCCACCTGCCTCTGCTTCAAGAGTGCTGGGATTAAAGGAATGCCACCATTTGGCCTTTGAGCCTTATAAACCTATTCCTGATACCAGGATAACTTCAAGCCAGACTTTTCTGGTGTGTGTGTGTGTGTGTGTGTGTGTGTGTGTGCCAGAGGCCCATGTCACTCAAGGTTCTATCACTCAAACCTTATTTTTAAATTTCTGTCTTTTTTATTATTTTGTATGACCATGGCATGTGTTCATGGACATGTGCACCATGGCACATGTGGAGAGAGTACAGATTCCATTCTTTTCTTTCCCCTTACATGGGTTTGAGAATCAAAAGTTTGTGCAGCAAGAACATTTACCCACTAAGCCATTTACCTTATTATTAGTAGTATTATTTGTCTTTTAGAGATAGGGTTTCTTTGTATGGCTTTGGAGCCTGTCCTGGAACTTGCTTTGCAGACCAAGTTGCCTTTGAATTCACAAAGATCCACCTGCCTCTGCCTCCAGAGTGCTGGGATTAAAGGTGTGCACCACCAATGCCTGGCTATTATTATTGTTGTTATTTGTGGCAGGGTCGCCCACTGAAACCAGAGTTCACCTGTTTGGTGAGGCGAACTGTCCAGCAAGCCCCAGGGATCCTAGTGTCCCCACTGTCCCAGTGCTGAATGACAAGTCTGCTGCACCTGACTTTTAAGTGGGTGCTTGGGATGCAAATCCAGGTCCACGCGCTTGCATAGGAAGCCCTTTATCTATGGAGCCACCCTAAGTGGTTGTTAAAATATCTGTTGGGGGGTACAAGATGGCTCAGAGAGAAAACTATATTAAGCCTGACAACCTGAGTTCAATCCCTGGGACCCACATCAGGTGGACAGAACACACTTCACCAAGTTGTGTCCTCTGACCTCCACGAGTGTCTTGCTTTGTCACATGAACTCACATGAATGCACACACCTTCCTCTCCCCCCACAAAATAAATAAATGTAATAAGAAATTAAAATATAACCTGAGTTAGTTTTACTGGTTTGCAAACTATCACACTTGAGGAAACAAGTCTGTCATACCAGCAGCCTTGGGTTTTGATTAAGAAAATAGTCCCAGCCTCAACTGACCTTGAGCTCTCAAGCAGTTTTAACCCCATTATGCCTCACCGTCGAACATCTCCAGGAGCCAGCGCTCAGCATGCAGCATCTGGGTTTTTGTGGTGCGCTCTCTGTGGTAGAAATCTTGCAACATGTCAAGAGCGTCCTGTGCGCGGACAGTGTCGTGGATCAACAGCGCATCATTGTAGCGTCTCAGATGCAGCGCATACACCCGCCGTTGTAGAAGTCCAGCCTCCGCCGCTGAAGGCAGTGGGTGCAGAGTTAAAGTTCCTAGGCTCTTCTGCTCTTAAAGGTTCCGCCCAGACAGGCCCTGCCTGTAGAAGCTCCGCCCCCGAAGGCTCTGCCCAAGGCCAGCCCTCCCAAGCTGCAAATCTCACCAGCCTTGCTCAACTCCACCACCTGCTGCTCATATGTCTGGGTTCCGAATTGCTGGGTCAGCTCAGGCATTTCTAGTTGCTGATGGATTTGGTTCATAAGCTTTTTAAGCAAGTCTCCAAAAGGGTCCTGAACAAGAAGGAGTGAGGGGATGAAGGAATTCCCAAACACATGGAAGGGTTAGGTACCATGTAGGGCTCGGCTCAGTACATTTCCCTTGACTGTCAGAACATCAAAGGGCTGGCCTGCTGGGTGTGAAGCATCATGGTCAGAGAGCTTCTGCTGTCTCACTCACTTTATATCTTTGCCCCGTGGCCTGGACACAGTGATGCAGAACCCTGCTTCAGCCTGTCATTATAGACATCAGACGTGAAGAAGAGAAAGGTCCAGCCTTGACACCAAGTAGCCCAGGTTCATGGCTTGGTAGCACCATGAGCCAGTCTGAACAGTAGGCTATGGACCTGGGCTGCACGTGCCTCAAAGCGCAGGAAGGACAGGCAGAGTCTCAGAGGCACAGGCAAAACTCCTGACCTGACAAGACCTGGGGAAGCTGGAATCAGGGCACACGCCTATGTTCCCTAACTCTACACCAGATGCCAGCTTGACCTATGACTCCTCACGTACCTCTCTGCGCCTTTGGCAGAGGTCATACTGCTTGCAGGGCTTCGGGTTGTGCTCCAGCAGCTGGGAGTGGTAATTCTCCGGGGACATGATGCGCCACGCATCCAAGTTGGCACAGAGCTGAGGGAAACAGAGACAGCACCGTAAAGAGGAGTCAGGCAGAATTTTGAGGGGGTGGGGTCCTGGCTAAGAATAGGAGAGCCTAAGGCAGGGAGGGGCATTGGAGTTGGGATTCCTCTCCAATAAGGTGGAAAGTGTGACTGGAATTACTAATATTCCAGGCACAGGTGAGAGAGAGGAATGTAGATGGGAATGAACACGAAGAAATCATTGAGAAATAGCAAAGAATTCGTAATTGGAACACACCAGGTAGTATGAATGAACTGCTAAAGCACTAAAACTGGTGCTATGACAGGGTCGTGGGGTTAACCAGGGGAGACTGTGACGATGACAGAGCTGCTGTTCACTGAATGGTGGGGGAGGGGTCAGATGCGGGAGGTTCAAAAGCAAGGGCTTTCCAGGCAAAAGGAAGAGTAAGATCAAGGTTCCCTTAGCACAATATACTCAAGATGCTGGAAGAGATTGGCGTAGGGCTGGGGAGAGGCCAGGCAGGCAAGGAGGTCCCTAGTGGATCTATTGTGGGAGGGCAGCAGAGGCTCAGCTGACCTGTAGGATGTGGTCAATGGCCCCTTGGAGCTTGGTGGCCCTGCCAGTGCCTGGGGAGGCCGTGAGACCCAGCACCTGTGGAAGGTGCTTTGCTTTCTGCAGCTTTTGCTCTAGGTACTGGCTCAGGATGTTGTTGTAGACCGTGTCCTTGTGGGTGTGGTGACACTCGTCCACCACAATCAACGAGAACTCTGGGGGCACATGAGGGACAGTTGTGAGCCTCACCTGGCACCTCTTCCAACAGGGTTGGTTTGTTTTGTGAAGTCCCCACTCTTGTCTGAAAATTCCCTCTTCCTTCCCAACTTAGGGCTGGGTCCCTGACAAGGAGCAGGCAGGGATGATCCTCATTGTACAGATTAGGAAATTGGGACTCAGCTGGGGAAGGGGTTTGTTTGCCCAGAAGTATGTTTCATAACCGGGATTCGGCTTTGGCAATGGGGGCCACTCACTCCCACACTGACTGGAGGTCTTAGGTGTTCACAGGGATCCTGCTTTTCACCTGTGAGCTCCACGTGTTCCTCCTCTTCCGGGCTGACCAGGGCCAGCTGCAACAGCTCTGCTGTACAGATGAGCAGGTCATGGCTCCGGGCCATTAGGCCAAAGCCAGCTCGTGGTCCCATGTCCCCACTCAGGGTTGTCATGGTCCAGCGTTTATCCAACATGCGCCTGAACTCCTCAGCGTGCTGGTTCACCAGGTGCACCTGGGAGTGATTAAGGGAGAGAGCCTAAATTGGGGTGGGGGTGAGACATGGCAGTTGTTGGAGGTTGGGGTGGTGGGAGCTGGGAGGAGTAAGGTGACCCCTTCAGGACGTCGGTGGATCCTGGCAGCATGGTAGTCTGGAAGAGAACCACAACAGCCGGGAAGAGCCAAAAACCCTGCTATGGGAAGGGCAGACCACTCACCCTGTTGACCAATACCACCACTTTGCCTCCGTCTACTGTCTCTAGATGCCTCTTGGCCACAAAGGCAGCTGCCCGGGTCTTCCCGGCGCCCGTGGGCAGCCATATAATGATATTCTTGCCCTCTAGAGCGGGCAAGATCACTTCCCACTGGTAAGGCCGCAGCTCCATTCTGGAATGGCAGAGGGATCAGAACCCCTGCCTTCTAACTCCTCCCCCTTCTCTGCCAGCCCAATCAGCTGTAGAAGCTGCCCTTGGCTTGGAACTCCGAGCCTTCATGGAGGTGGGGCACCTCACCATAGAAACCCACCCGGAACCTGCCGTGGCCAGGGTGAGGTTGGGAAGAGTAGCTGATCAGCTTGCTCTCTGCTGAGCTCTGAAGTTCTGGAAAGCCCGGGCTGGCAGCTCAGTGATTAGAAATGAAACCGAAACAAGGGGGAGGAGCCAGATGAGCTAAGCACAGCCCATCCTAGCCACTTTAAATAAAAAAAAAAAAAAAAAAAAAAAAAAAAAAGATGGGGTGGGAATTATAGTTACAGACAGCACTGAGCTTTCATTGCTTTGGGTTCTCTACCTCAGCTTTTTTCTCCCAGCCAGCAGTAATCCTGCCCACCCAGGTTAAGCTTAAGGAATGAAGGCTGTGACCTGGGCTTCCTGGATGAGGACCATCCCAGATGGACAGGCATTAAGGGCAAGCTCTTGCTCTCCCTTAGCAGGTGAGACAGGCTGGAAGCCATTGGAGAAGAGGTGAGGGATGGCAGACAGGCAGGTCCTTCTCCCCACTATGAACTACAGGGGTCAGCAGCCCTGGTGTACCCTGAAGTTGGGCTTCCAGGTTGCAAGGGGAAGAACTGGAAGAGTGAAGGTCAGTCTTGAGTCTGAACCCACACCCCCCAAAAAACAATCACACAGGAAAAAAAAAAAAAAAAAAAAAAAGCTTTATTGTTCCCTGAAAGGGATTAATGCCAAGGAATGAATGGTCCTTATGCCCCTGTCCTGGGGGACAGATGGACAAAACAGTGTACGATGAGCCACAGTCTCTCATGGCTCCTCCAGTCCTGGCTGTTTCCATCCCAAGGCTAATCATAATCATCGAATAGCCCTGACCCTGGGAAACAGGCACCTGGGTCAGGCTCAGAACTCCCAGCCTGCGTGGCTCTCTAAGGACCAGGGCTGAGCAGTTAGTTCATCCCCTGGCCACGAGACATTCAACGAAGGGCTGGTCCCAGACCAGACTTTTCCCCAAGGCTGGATGCAATGAAGGCAGGAACAGAGCTGCGGGCTTGGGAGTGCCTGCTGGCTGAAGAGTCTTCAAGATTTGGGGCCCATGGCTGGAGTTTCTCCTGCTGAGTCAGGGAGAGGAGGGCCAGGAACACCCAAACGGATCAGGTGAGGCGGACATTGCAGAGCCCAGCTGAGGACTACTTGTCAATGAGCCCCCCCTCCTTGAGCTTGAAGTAGAAGAACTTCTCCAGGGCACTGGCACAGCGACAATATTCACTGTCTGGGGGATTGTACTCCCGGCAGTTGGCAATGACCCGCTGTAGGTCAGCTACAAAAAGCTTCCGGGTCACGTAGTAGCGACTTCTCAACCGTTCTGTCATGGTCTTCAGGTCTGGGTCACAGGGGAGAAGGGGTATGCGTTTAAGAGGTGAAGGGATGTAGCTGGGGTTGCCCACCATGGTGGGTCCTGGAGGGGTACCCTGACACAATGTGGGTAGGAGCAGATGTGGGGCGCATGCTGGGGAAGTGAAGGTAGGAGGGTCCTCACCAATGGGGAAGCGGATAACCTCGTAGTAGTCGGGGGCCTCTGATTTCTTCACGGGTTCCATGAAGGGCCAGGCACTGGGGTGTGACTGGAGAGAAGAGTTGAGTTGGGTTGGACAAGTTGGCACTGTGAGCCTATCACCAAGATTGCCACCCACTTCAGTTACCCCTAGAAGAGAAGCTGGCCTCCCACCTTGATCTGAGCCAGCAGGTTTTTGAGGGTTGTGTATAGCTGATCAGGGTCCTTCAGCTCCTTGCTGGAATAGGAGATGCCAAGTCTGAGGGTCTGAGTCCTTCTGGCCCCCACCCCGGCCCACGCTCATTCCCCTTGACCAAATACTCACCCTTTCTCCTTTCCCAAGGGCTTCCAGCCTGTCTCTCCTGCAAAGGGGGAGAGAACATCCCTAAGAACGCCCGCCCATACCCAAGAATGCCCTCCCGTCCTTTCAGCCAAGGCCCCTGCTCACGAATGCCAGGGACGCTCTCCACAGGAATCTGCCTCACTCCCTCCTTGAAGCAGCTGAGTCCAGGGTAGACCTTTCGGATCTGTGCCTGTTTGCGCTCAATCAATTTCTTGATGATCTGAGGAAGCAAGGGTCTGAGGGGCCAACTCAGGTCCAATCACCCCCAAGGCCATGGTCAGTAAATGGTAACATTCACTTTTGACCTTTCTAAGAGGCAGGGCAAGAACCAAGACCAGGCCTGTCTCCTCCACATAAACATGGGCATGGCACATGACTCTGCACGTTTACTCCTAACCAATGCACACTCACAAAACCCCTATGGATGCATGCGCACACCTCCTTCTGTTTCTTGATGATGTGGGACAGCTCTGTGTAGGGAATCCGGGGATTCAGCTCACACTCCATCAGGGTTGCTCCTTCATAGTCCTTGATGTAACCCAGGTATCGGCTCTTGGGCACCTTGATGTCCTTGGAGAAGCCCTGGGTGAGGGAATAGTTAAGACCCAATCAATCAAGGACCCTCCAGCTTCCACAGCCACTTCCTCAGGAGCACTTGAGAAGGCAGTACATGGCACGTTTCCTCTTGCATCTCTACACATGCCTGTGGAGGTGTGAGAATGCTAGCTGCCTCTGGAAAAGGCTCCAAGCTGGCTGTTCCTATCTGCTCCAATCCCCAAAGGGACCTTCTGGTTCCTGGTCCTGTTCACTGGGTGGCAAGAAGCGGGGAGGAGATAGGAAGGGAGACCCTTCCTCACAGGTGACAGGTGCAACAGGGACAAGAAGGAGTCTACTATTGTGGAAAATTAATTTAAGGTGTGTTACATTTGTTTATGCTGTGGAACATGTGTTTTAATGGTGCAAAGATGTACCGCATTCTTTTAAGTACCATTTGCTTAACTCTGTGAAGCTGTGTTACTTTGCCTGTTTAAAACACCTGGAGGTCTAATAAAGAGCTGGACAGCCAATGGTGAGGCAAGAGAAAGAACAGGCAGGCAGAGAGAATAAATAGGAGGAAGAGACAGAGACAACTAAGAGAGAGGATGCTAGGAGTCAGCCAGCCAGCCAGCCAGCCAGCCAGCCAGCCAGCCAGCCAGCGTAAGAGTGAAAGTAAAATATACAGAAACAGAAAGGTAAAAGCCCAGAGGCAAAGGGTAAATGGGATAATTTAAGCTAAGAAAAGCTGGCTAGAAATAAACCAAACTTAAGTCAGAATTTATAAGTAAAAATAAGCCCCCTTGTGTGGTTTATTTGGGAGCTGGGTGGCAGCCCCCCACAAAAGAAGGAAGAGCAAAAGAGTAAAAACCAGTAATACCGGAAGTCGTGCCCCCAAACTGGGACCCCCGCAGCAGGTGTGACGAGGCCCCGGCTCACCTGCTTTTTGAAGTAGCCAATGGCATATTCGTCAGCATAGGTGAGAAAGTAAAGGATGCTGTGTTTGATGTGGTACTCCTTTAAGTGGTTCATCAGATGCGTGCCATAACCCTGTGTGGGAAGGAGGCACAGGTTGGGAAGGAGAAGGAAAAGCCAAGGCAGGGAGGACAGTGGCCGGCAGAGGACAGTCTATGGAGGAAAAGCGAAGGATTGCTAGATAATTGCTCTGGGCCGGATTCAGCTCTTGATTCTTCGCCAGTTAGCCCGAGAGTAGGTATTAAAAGTCCCATTTCATAAGCAAAGCAAAAACAAACAAACAAACAAACAAAAAAAACCCAAAACTGGGCTGGAGGGTGGTGGCGGTGGTGGCTCACGCCTTCAATCCCAACACTCAGGAGGCGGAGGCAGAGGCAGGTGGATCCTCTGTGAGTTAAAGGCCTGGCTGGTCTACAAGAGCTAGTTCCAAGACAACTAGGTCTACACAGAGAAACCCTATCCTGAAAAAACAAACAACTCCCCTCAAAAACAACAAACAAAAACCAAAACACCAAAAACAAAAAACAAAGCCTCCCCCAAACCCCTGAAACCCAGGTACACAAAGAATAGTCGGAGCAGGGCTGGGTTCCAATCCAACACAGCCTGCTGGCCCCAGTTCTAGGGCTTTAGAACAAAGGGGAAGAACAGAGGGGTCACATGGGTCTGTTCATGACAGCATCTGAACCCCGAACGCACACGTGTCAGGACCAGACATGTATATAAAACAGGATGAGAAGCCCAAAATACTTTGCTGTGAAAAAAGACAGAAGCCAGGACTATTATCTCTAAGTAACTAACAGTTATCAACTCCCCAAGGTATGTAAAATTTCCTGTGAGGAAACCACAGTTCACTTAAAAAGCGATGCTGGCTTGGGGTGAGGCTCGGTTAGCAGAGTGCTTGCTCAACGTGCACAGAGACCTCAGTTCATTCCTCAGCACTGGATAAAACCCGCCGTGGGGTACACACCCGTGATCCCAGCACTCTGGAGGCAGAGAGGAGAGGATCAGAAGTTTAAGGTCTCCCTGGACTGCAGCGTGTTTAAGGCCAGACTGGGCCACATGAGACCCTCTCTGAAACACAAAATCCTCAAAGGTTCACTTAAAAATCTTGTCAATCTCCCCCCCAACCAAACAGCCAGGCAGTGGTGGTGCATACCTTTAATCTCAGCACTTAGGAGGCGGAGGCAGAGGCAGGTGGATCTCTGTGAGTTCAAGCCTAGCCTGGTCTACAAAGCAAGTTTTTGAGTTCCAGGGCAAGCAAGGTTATACAGAAAGATCCTGTCTTGAAATACTCTTGTTGGGGTCAGAACTCTGCTAGAGTTCTTGCCTAGTGTGCACAAAACCCTGTGTTCCATCCTAACATCAAAAAAACCAAGATTTTTTTTTCAAGGTAGGGTTTCTCTGTGTAGCCCTGCTGTCTTGGAACTCACTCTGCAGACCAGGCTGGCCTTGAACTCACAGAGATCCTCCTGCCTCTGCTTCTCTAGTAGTGGTGGGTTTAAATGAAGGCATGGGCCACTGTGCCCTATGCTTGGTTGCTTTTTTTTTTTTTTGTTTTAAACAGCAGGTGTTTCCTGAATGATAAATTCTCAAGGCAGACCTGCCACCTTATGGAAATGTCTGGTTATTACAACAGGTACTGGGGCACAGACACTCTGCCATTCTGGCTGCCCTGGTCCAAATTCAGAAGCAGGGGTTGGGACGGTTGGGATGGGGTTCTGGTCAGAGCCACTGTGCTTAC